GAGGTTCTAATAAAAACCTAGAGAACTAAAAACCAATCCTAACCCTCCAATCTATCTAATCCAATGGCCTACATTTCGATGGCAGAATTATAAATATAGACAAATATATATATAGGGAGAGGTTCTAATAAAAACCTAGAGAACTAAAAACCAATCCTAACCCTCCAATCTATCTAATCCAATGGCCTACATTTCGATGGCAGAATTGTAAATATAGACAAATTTAATACACATCAGCTGTAAAAAACAATGTGAAAATGGTAAAATTGGAATAGGGAGGTTCTAATAAAAACCTAGAGAACTAAAAACCAATCCTAACCCTCCAATCTATCTAATCCAATGGCCTACATTTCGATGGCAGAATTGTAAATATAGACAAATTTAATACACATCATTAATGTGAAAAGGGTAAAATTGGAACAATTAATTACATAGTTCTCCATTTCCCCATGCAACTCTCTCTCTCTCTCCAAAATCACAGCAGCTCTTTCCTCTCACGTTCTCCTCTCTCTCTCCTCCATTTCCCAAAAGCTTGAACCAGCCCCCTCTCTCTTCCTCTCTCTCACCACCACAAACACCACTAACTCCTCACCGAGCTCCTCCAACTCCACTGCCCCTGAGCTCCCTCCGACGAACCGAAGCCGCTCTGACGAACCGAAGACGCTCCCTCAGACCCGACGCCGTCAACCTCCTCTCCATCTCCTTCGCCACCTTCAAACAACCCAGATCCGAGCTCCTCCCATCCAAGCTTTCGCTGGAGTGAATCTGGATTCACTCCATTGAATCTGGATTATATTGAAGCTCGATTCATTGGAGTGAATCCAGATTCACTGAATTGAATCCAGATTCAGTGGACTGAACTCGTTATCAAACAATAGCAAATCTGCAAAAATAAAAAACAAAAAGGAATAAGAAACTTATAGTAAAAAACAAGCTATAAAATTTTAAACCATGATAAGATTTCATATTTTACAGCAAAAAGTTACGATTTTTATGGTAAAAAACAAACACCTCACATAACTGAATCTGGATTCACTGCAGTGAATCTAGATTCACTCATGCGTTTATTTCTTCAAAATTATAGCACATGCATTTATTTCTTCAACAATTCATTAAAAACCATCCTAACCATCCAAGCTTTCGCTGGAGTGAATCTGGATTCACTCCAGTGAATCTGGATTCACTCCAGTGAATCTGGATTCACTCCAGTGAATCTGGATTCACTCCAGTGAATCTGGATTCACTCCAGTGAATCTGGATTCACTCCAGTGAATCTGGATTCACTCCAGTGAATCTGGATTCACTCCAGTGAATCTGGATTCACTCCAGTGAATCTGGATTCACTCCAGTGAATCTGGATTCACTCCAGTGAATCTGGATTCACTCCAGTGAATCTGGATTATATTGAAGAATAAGAAACTTATGGTAAAAAACAAGCTATAAAATTTTAAACCATGAAAAGATTTCACCTTTTACAGCAAAAAATTACGCTTTTTATGGTAAAAAACAAACAACTCACATACTGAATCTAGATTCACTGCTGTGAATCGAGATTCACTGCAGTGAATCTAGATTCACTTATGCGTGTCTTCGTTTTCAACTGGTTTCTTCAAAAAACAAAAAAACTTTTCAGACTAAAAGGTGAACTATTTCACCTTTTACAAGATGTTGAAGACAGAGAGAGAGTTGAGCGAACCTTGGAGGGTTGACGGAACGGATCTACGGGTTCGGCGTTGGCGTCGTCGGAGGTGGATGATGGCGAGGTGGCACGGGGTGGAGGAGCTCGGATCTGGGTTGTTTGATGGTGAGAGAGAGGAAGAGAGAGAGGGCTGGTTCAAGCTTTTGGGAAATGGAGGAGAGAGAGAGAGAGGAGAACGTGAGAGGATTGGTTTTTAGTGGTTCAAGCTTATAGATAGATACATACATACATGCATGCATGCATGCATACATACATACATACTATTAAATATTTAAATATATTGATACTTTTACTATGTGATAAATAATAAATATTTTTGATATTTGAAACAAATTATATTATATTAAAAGTATTAAATGATTAAATAATATTAATTATTAAATATGTTTCATTTTATGCATTTTATGACTTAATATGTTTAATATTTAATTAAATAACTATATAATATTAATATTTAATATTAGCTTGAAATGTCTTGTAAATGTTAATCAGTAGTGTTTATTTAAATCTAGACTCATTAAATGAAGGGGAGAGAGAAAATCCTAGGAGGAAGATCACAATCCTCCAATTTTAACATGAACTTTTACTTAGAATTGTTTCACTTGAGTATATAGAGTTGGATTGGAATCTGGATTTTGAAACCGTAGTCCTAATTAGAATCCTAAACAAGCAATAACATCGTAAAGTTGAAATCCAAATCCTAATCCTTAACGAATATCATCATAAAGTCCTAGTCCAAACAAACAAAAAATTCATAACCAATAATCCCTCCTTAGTTATTTGAACGGGTGTATGAATGAGTAAAATTCAAAAAGCTCAATTTCACAAGGGAAACAATCTATCAAGAGAAATTGGGTCGCTTGTATTGATCCGTTTCATTCACATAATTGAATAGACATTAATGGGCTGTTTGGTTCGCTATTATAAGGGGTGGAAAACTCAGAAAACCCCTCCACGTCAGATTTTTAGCCCTCCACGTCAGTTTTTTTGTTTCCGTCCATTTCTTTGTGCCGCTTTGGTTCGCTCGAATGGAAGATGGAAAACTCTGCTGAAATCGCCGCCAACTAAGATTTTTTTCCTTCTCCGATTTTCTTCCCTAACCAAGTGAAATTGATGAAAACTCTGTCACGTCAGATTTTTTTCCTTCTCTGCTTTGTTTACAAAAGTTTTCCTTTTTTTTCTATGCGAACCAAACACAAGAAAAATAAATAAATTGGTTTCCCACCATTTTTTATGTGCGAACCAAAGCAAAACAATCTATTTCTTGGAAAAGTTTGAAAAACTCAAAACTTGTGTTTCTTTACATGGAATTGCATTTCTCTATATCAAGGAAACGAACCAAACAACCCCTAAGTAAAAGCTGAAAGGCACTTAAAACCCTTATTGTTTCACTATCTTTACACTAAAATATTCTAAGTTGTAAAAAATAGTACATAAATACCTTTAGTTGTTTACCGTCAGAATATGGTAAACACTGTTAAAAAATCCATTATGATAAAAGTATCTGTCAATAGAAATTTAATAAAGAGATAGAGGATAGTATAGTGGTAAATATGATAATAAATGGGTCAATACAATTATAAAAATGTTATGCGCTCATCACAAAATGTATTAACGTGCCAATGTTTTTACAGCTTAGGATATTAAATTGCTTTTGTTTCATAACTTAGGATGTTAATTTTTATAATTTTACAACTTATCGTACCTGTAAAAGTGATGAAGCAATAGGCTATTTATGCGCCATTTAGTCCTAATCAAATCTCCCACGTTCCCCAAAAATAGAGAAGCCACACATAAAAGTGTGGCTTTTTTTTATCACGATGAGACTGGAGGTTGCCTTTGTACGTGTGCGACCTCTCTCTCTCTCTCTCTCTCTCCGTCCAAAAATCCTTCGGGGAGAGAAAATGGCGTTTTCTTTCTCCAGTGGCTGCTCAACGCCGTTTCTTAATCCCTCTCTCAAACCCAAGGAGACCCAACCAAAAGGACTGAAGGTATTCTCCTTGATTCATCCAAGGAGAGGTTCTCTGATGAAATCCTCAAATGGGTACCCTCTCTTTGCTGCCTCCTCAAACGATTGTGAGTTTCTCCTCCTCCTTTTTTAGACCCTAACAGAGCTAGTTGTATATTGTTTTCTTGTGCTACTTGTATCTGGCTTATTGGGCTTGTTTAATTTCTTTTCCGCGTTTTTTTTTAATTTGTTTAAACCGTCTCTCAAAACTACGGAGACACGTCCTTCTTCCTCCGGCGAGCTGTAATGTCCGTGCTCATCGGCCTGCTACCTGGTTGCTGCTTCAGAGGTAAACTTTTTTTTATTTTTTATTTTTGGCTAGTTTTGAGTAACCGGCTCAAGATGCCTGGGGAATTTATTAACCAGAGGAAATAGTGCGAAAATATTCACGAAGAGGAAGGGGGAGTGGAAGGAGAATTAGAAGGCCAAAGGACTAATGGCGATCGATCGTTGAATTAAGGTGTCGCATTGCTCTGAGTGGAACATCTGATCCGGTGTAAGGTGTGCATGCCGAAAGGAAGATGATTACATACTCGACCAACGAAGATTATAAATGTTGAGCATTCTACGTACCATATGTTTCATATCATGTAGATCCAACACTGTCTTACACTAAATGTCAACTACCTAATGTAACCCCTTCTGATCATTTATCCAGCTTGAGGTTTGAAGTACCTGGCCATAAAATAAAGCACAACACTGCCGGATGCCTCTTAGGGCACTACTTAGGAAAAAAGTATTATAGTTAATGGGGAAAGGAGATCTAGATAAAGACTAAAAAGAACTTGGTTAGAAGCAATCAAGAAGGTTATAATAAAGGCTAACTAAAAGGAGATGGCCAAAAATGGGTCTGACGTAAAGAATAGGGTCCATGTAACCGACCCCAAACATTTGGGGTGAAGGCTTTTTTCTTGTTGTTATAGCAATCTCCCATATAATTCTAGCCACATGAGAATTTTTCTCTTGAGCTGGTGCAGACCATAATTAATGGAGAGAAGGAAGGATGTAAAAATTGTTGTTAGTGAAGCATAAAGTGATTTAACCATTAAAACACTCTTTGTATTAAGTTTCTAAATCCCAACATCCGGCCCTTCAGTCCAGTTGTGTGAATTTAAGAAGTTGAGAAGTTGTTGTAAATCTGAAAGAAACTAAAGGCTGTAGCCATTGTCTAAAGTTTGGACCCCAAATAAAGTGGTTATCTAGTGCTTCTGTTTGGGAACAATATCACAATCCCCAATCCTATTTAAGCAAAATCTAGTAATATCGCCAACTCCTATATTCTCCTTGATGTTGAAAAGGATCACCTTACTCGTTTTGATGATACTCCTTCAAAATGGAAATACCTGACCAGAGAGGGAGCCTGACATGTCCCTAATATCTATAGTAAGTGTACTGCAAAAGTTTGGCCTATGCAGCATCACAATCAACAAAAGTTCTCCACCATATCTAGAGGAGTGTGATATTGTAAGTGTTTCAAGAAGGATTTCTATATTTCCCACTTCTTTAATTCTACAAATCTTCTTTAATTCTACAAATCTTCTTTAATTCTACGAATCTTCTTCCAGTTTATGAGAAAAAAAAATGCTCTACAATGTGATCAATGTATTTTATCATCGAATTTGAAAGGTGACAGCAGATAGGACAAGATCAACAAGAATGGAGAAATTTTCAAAATAGACTCATTTACAGTTTTATTCCCCAAAATCAACTCATTTCAAATTTATTTACAAAAATCGATCCAGTTTCGGCCACATCAGCGGCGCAGGCTGAAATTGGGTCGATTTAAAAAAAACGCTTCTTTTTAATTAGTTGGGGTTGCCAACCCCAACTAATTAGATGCTAGTTTAATTACACAGGTTAGTAGTGGGGGTTGAAATTACAGTTCAAAATAGTCACAGTTGCCAACCCTGACTATTTAGAAGGTTAATTAACCATGTTACTAATTAGACAGGATTGGTAACCCTGATTAATTAGAAAGAAAGCTTTTGACTTAGTTAAAATTGGGTTGACTTTTGTGAATATGTCTGAAATGGGTTGATTTTGGTGAATAAAGTTATAAATGGGTTTGTTTTGAAAATTTCTCCTAACAAGAATCAATCAAACTCCTCTAGTGACAGAGATGATCCTTTCGAAGTTGTTGACCTTCTACCAATCTGATCAATAAGAGTTTGCCAATCAGAGTGAGAGAGGGTTGTAGTCTTGGTCAGAATTTCAAATTAGTGAATGGAAGTGTACCTAGGTATCATTGAACAAATTGGGCTGCTTGCTCACCCAAAACATGTATATTGAAGACGCTATAGATGCAAGATTTGTGGAAGTTGATTTTGGGACCAGAAATTTCTTGGGAACCATGTAGGATAAGCTTCAAGCTCACAATATATAATCTTTCTCAGGACATGAGAATGAGAGTGTAATTTGCATTAGAGTCTAACAAGAGCATCCTCAACTTGTGCAGCACATGTTTTACTAAGCTTGAAGGAAATTAAACAAGTGGAGATTTTCTATTAAGAAACTTAAACATGTGGGGACCTTTTATTGAGAAACTTAATCTTGTGATTTATTGATACATGAGAGTAAGAGGTCTTGCCGTTGTTAACTTGGGAAACCTAAACATCTGAAGACTTTTTATTGACCCATAGACAAAAGCTGTGCAAAACGGCTACTATAGAAGGCTATTTGGGACGTGTCGCGCTTCATCTCTAAATGTGTGTCTCCATTTAGAGGAGTGTTCTCCAAGCTAGTAAGACTTTCTTCTCCATCATCAAAGTGAGTGTAGGATTCAGTGACACTCGTAGATTTTGGCTGTTGGATTGGTGATAGTGATCTTGCATCCTTTTACCTAGACTCTTGATTGTGCAAAGCCCAAGTGACCTCATCATCTCTCAAATGATAATACTTGATAACCATCTTGTTTGGACTCTAAAATTTTGGTGATGAGCACCACCTTATTTGCCATAGAATGTTTAATAATTCTTCGATGTCTTGAATTCACATAATTGGACGGAAAGTCTAGATGTTAGAAGATAGAAGCATAACATGAAATGTGGATTCACAGTTATATGACACCTCTCTTTATCACTCCCTCAGCAACAGCGTTAATCTCTGTGTCATCTACAGTCTGCACCCGCTTCTCTCCAACTGAAGAGCTTCATGTAGCTTGCATGTATTGTATATTGGCTACCATTAATAACCTTGCCAAGAGAAGTTTCTCCACATAATCCTTTTCGCGACAATAGCCTGGAGTCCAATGATATGGTGATTACTCTATTTTGTTCCTTCTAATTACCCTGATCTTTTCTCCCTCCTTTACTCTCTCTCTCTCTCTCTCCATTAATGTATATTTTGTAAATTTTTCGTCTAATTAATTAAGTTCCTGGGCATCTTGCCAAATTTACCCACAAAAAGTTGATTTTCATGATGAGGTAACGCATTGGCAGAAAGCAGAGATTGTTGGTTGTTATGTCAATACACACCGTTGGATAAGCAGCATTTAATAGATGGTTATTATGATTTCTTTGGAGGATTTTTTTCCGAATGTTATTGTTCCATTATGAGCGTATTATTGAAAGGGGATGCTTATCATCCACATTTTAATTTAAAATGTCATACCACTGGGGGAAAAAATCTTGGTCTAGTAGTTGATGAATGACACTTGTGAAAATTCTAATGTATTTTTTAATAGGTAAATTTCTTATTTGGGGGCAATTGAAAAACAAATAAAAAGATTAGTTATACCAGAGTTATGTTACGAGTTGGTAACTGACATGGAAAGGTTGCAAATAAGATGCGATATCAGGGGAATGCAGTGGTAGAGACTGATTGTGTTTGTATAATAAGAGGTCCCTTGTCTTAAGTAAATTGTATCATCAGTCTGCATGTACTTAATCGTGAAAAGATATCGGTATAACGAGCTTTCTGCATAGCTTTAGTAATTTCGCTGAACTCTACTTGGTTTGCGAATGTGCGGCAAACCAACACTCTGCTCATTGAACCATTAGGGGCAACTTTACACTTCTTATTTACATTGTCAGTTGATGACCATGGACAAGATGAAAGGGTACTTGCGAAAAGGCCCAGTGGACTACAAACTTTTAAATATTATGCAGCTCCATAATATGAATGAAATGCAGAGGAAGAAAGAAGCTGATAGTGTAACAAGCTCAGGGATTATGATCTGCTTATTGCAGAAAAATTAACACAACATTAGCTGCAAAGTTGAAAATTTACTTCCATGGTTCTGTATTAGCTGCCTTCAAAACTCTTGCAAAACATGATAAACCAAATTCATATAAAATAGGAGTTGATGCCCTGTGAAACGCACATCAGGATACTATGTGGAAGGGATCATGAGGCTAACGGACTGAAATTTGAACTTTGTAACTGGGTTATATTTTGACCTGAAGATGGGAGGCAATAAGTGTCACTTAAATATGACAAATCATGGGAGTGCTTTCTAAGATTATATGTTTAACCAATGCCAGAGATAGAGAAAATAAGGAAGACATCTCAAAAATCAAGGGAGTGCTTTCGAAGATTATATGTTTGACAAGATAGAAAAGGGAGGCCAAGAGGTGACTTTGTTGTTACTTTTGTACTAAAAGAAAATTTGCCCACAAAACTGGTTATCTTTGACATTAAGATAGGAGATGAGGAGTATCACTAAAAGAGAACAAACCAAGCAAGTACTTTTAAATTTGGTTGGATATGTCTAGCATATGCCAGAAATGAACAAAATGAGGAAGCGATCTCAAGTTAAGTTGAGGAGATGGAAAAGAGTAGGCCAATATGTGAGTTCATTGTTGATTGTGAACCATAACACAGTACGTGATATGAAGCCGGTCATGGTACGAATTCAGATACACAATTCGCCTCATACAAAATTAAGATTCAATGAGGGTTAATTAACTTGCTTTGGTAGGTAAGTTCTGTGTGTGGGGCATTGTAAAAATTTTTTGGGTGTGCTTACTATTTTCGAAAGCATATAGTAGAAAACTAGAAACTAGAAAATTAATTATGCATTTCAATATTTTTTTCATACAAAATACTTAAATGCTTCTTTTTTATGGAGTTCATCTTTTGTTCTGTTTTTTCCTTTCACACAGTTCGTGTTGGGATCAAGGATTCATTTCAAGTTTTAATAAATATTTAGTTACAATAAAGTCATTGACTCGTATATTCTATTGTGCACCTCCCTTTAATCGATTACGCAAATTGCATTGCATCTTCTACATGTGCACTTAAAAGGGACCAGTTCACAAACATACTGGGAATTGGTTCGCAGGAACTGTAGGACAGTTCGATTGGTGGGCGGGTGTCTAGGGAATTGCGCAACTATGTTGTGAACCAAGAAAAATAGAACAATTTTTTATGCTCACTATTTTTCCGTGCTGGTCTAAAAGTTGGACCAGAACCAAATATTGTCTATATTAATTTCTCCAAATCAATGAACTGAGCGCCTAAAGTTCATTATGTATGTATTCAATCTATCAAGATAATGTACTTTCTTCTGAGTCAAAAAGGAACCGGGTATTCTCCTTCTTTAGTTTCATTGCTGTTTCTTTTAATTAGTGGTTCAATTTCATTTTTGAGCCATTCTATATACTTTTCAGCCACTGTACTGCGTTTTTTCCGCTCGCATCATATGGAAAATTGCCTTTTTTGTAGGCTCAGCAGCAGAACAAACTGTTGACACGCTAAATAAAACCCAGTCTGTGCAGCTGTCTAGATCAGAACAAAATCAAAATGAAACTACAGTTAGTATTACAGTGGTTGGAGCTTCTGGTGATCTTGCCAAGAAGAAAATATTCCCAGCTCTTTTTGCTCTCTTTTATGAAGATTTCCTTCCTCAGGTCTTTTTTAAGCATCCATCTGGTGAGAATTTCATGTTTTCTTCGACTATGATCTCAATAGTCCTGGTTTATATTCTCTTATGCAGCATTTCACAATTTTTGGATATGCTCGTAGTAAATTAACCGATGAGGAGCTTAGAATCATGATAAGCCAAACCTTGACTTGCAGAATTGATAAGAGGTATGGTATATTGTAAATCGTATCACAGCATGTTATGGTGCTGCGCTTAAAGCTCTTTTAATTTCATTATTCTTGGTATTACACGTATATACAAAATGAAAACCTATGACCTTTTCATTTCCACCTATTCATGAAATCATTTTTATCCTTACTTGTTTGTTCTCTGGATCCCTATCCCTACGTCTTCTTCTTTCACAGTTTCTTTGGAGAAGTACAGTTTTACGGTAATAGAAGTATGGCAAACTTTGGTGAATATGTAGTCTAAAATGCTGGTCTGAATTTAATTTTGATGAACTCATTTGCTTTATTCTTTCGTATGTTTATTTTCATTCTTGTTCACAGTGGTACTCCTGATAATGTGATTATTTCAATTATTATACAGGGAAAATTGTGGCGACAAGATGGAACATTTTTTGCAGAGATGCTTCTACCATGAAGGACAATATGGCTCAGAAAATGATTTTTCAGAATTAAATAAAAAGCTTAGGGAAAAAGAGTTGAGTAACCCATCATTTTATTCATATTTTATAATCGGTATAAAACATCCACTTGTTTGTCTTTCTCAAATTTGTGGTCAGAGGTTCATAACATAGTGGTTGTCCTCGCGAAAACATTGGTCTTGTGTTAAAGCTTTTCTTTTTCTATATCAAGCTAGAAGCAATTTGTAGGCTAGAAGCATCTCTATGAATATCCAAAAGCTAATCACACAGAAAAACTACATGAGTATAATTTTGTGAATGGCAGTTTTTCTAAAATCTCATGGCAAGAAATCGTGTGGCTTTTACCCTGAAAAATGAATCCTTCAGGCTTCAGAAGCCAAGAGCACCAAAATTATGAAAATAGAACGGAATATTATTCGCACTGAAGCTGTAAGTTCCCATAAAGTGCTGCTTACAAAAGCTTTATTTATTTTGACATGGAACTATTTTCAGGCAGGGAGATCACCAAATAGGTTATTTTACCTCTCAATTCCTCCAAATATATTCATTGATGTAGTGAGATGTGCTAGCCGCTCTGCTACTTCTCCTATGGGATGGACCAGAGTCATCGTTGAAAAGCCATTTGGTCGCGACTCTGAATCATCTGCAAAGCTCACAAAGTCTCTGAAACAGTACTTAACTGAGGATCAAATATTCAGGTACTTCATTCAACAAATTCTCGGCTGCAAATTTATGTTACATGAATAGTATGAGATTTTGTTCACTAGAAACTAAGGATCCGTCATTTGACTGATGTAGAATCGATCATTACTTGGGGAAAGAGCTCGTGGAGAATCTATCAGTTCTTCGGTTTTCCAACCTGGTATTCGAGCCGTTATGGTCTCGGCAATACATCAGAAATGTTCAACTTATATTCTCTGAAGATTTTGGAACAGAGGGCCGGGGCGGGTTTGTCATATGAATGCCTGTCTTTCCTGAGTAACCTAGCTATGTCATCAGAATAATTTTGCTCATTGCCCCTTTTTTCATCTGCAGTTACTTTGATAGCTATGGGATAATCAGGGACATCATGCAGAACCATCTCCTCCAAATCTTAGCTTTATTCGCGATGGAGACACCTGTCAGTTTAGATGCTGAAGACATTAGGAATGAAAAGGTTTGAAAGAAGTAACTTTTATGATAAAGTCTTGTAGCCATCAGTAGCCTCTACAATCCATGTACCTACTAATGGGGTATGCATTGAGCATCCACGATACAACACAAGTTAATTGTGGATAGACCTTTGTACTGTTACCTAATTGCTGATAGAACGCTGTAGTTCTATTGTTGTAGATAAACCCCTGAGTTAAATGTTTTTTACTCTTTTACCACAGAGAAAGAGAACATTGTTTTGTGACGAATAGACCTCTTGACGTTAAAAAAATCTGTTGGGGTTTATCTGCAACACTTGAACAGTGGGGGGGTCTGTCTGCAATTAACCTTATATTTTATACAGGTAGAAAATTATCTCAACCATTGAACATCATTTACATTTCCAATGTAACTTGCTTTGCCACCACAAAACTAATCACTTGATATAGGAAAATTTATAATCAATTAATACATAACTTACAAAACCCTATAAATTTTAAAACAGATATCCCAAAAAAATAAAATAATAATCTAGTTGTCAGTTTTGATGGTCCTTTGAGGTTAAGAGCTAACAGAAGCATGCTAGAGTTGCAATAGAGTTGCAATCCTACTCACGCTCATCATTGCACATATTGTTGATGAGCTTTCCTGGTGTCTGTTCAGGTTAAAGTCTTACGATCAATAAGGACTTTGCAGCTTGAGGATGTTGTTGTGGGACAATATAAGGGCCATAAAAAGGGTGGAATATCTTACCCTTCATACACGGATGACCCTACAGTACCAAAAAACAGTCTTACTCCAACATTTGCAGCTGCGGCTCTTTTCATTGACAATGCTAGATGGGATGGTGTACCTTTTCTCATGAAAGCTGGAAAGGCATTGCATACCAAGCGGTAAGATTGCTTCTTTTAAGGATTAATTTCCCAAAACCCCTTTAACTTTGGAGTTTATGCACCTTTTTTTTTTACCTCACATAACCCACCTGAACTTTAAACTTTTCTCACAACACCCCTTACCTATAGTTGGCAAATGACTAAAATTTCCTTGAGAAAAATAAAACCTCAACTGGAGGGAGGGGTGCATTGCCTGTCAATGACAAAGGACGGAATCTGTAGTTTTTACTCTCAAGGACATTTCAGTTATTTGTTCGTTATAGTTACGGAGTCCGATGAGAAATATTTGAAGTTAGGAGGGTTTCGTGAGACATCCCAAAGTTCAAGGGGTTAAGGGGGTTATGTGTGAAATTCCCCAAGGTTCAACAGGGTTTTGTGTATTTGACATTTCTTTTAATCATTTACATTTTGAGTTATAGTCTTGCCTAGACCTACCAAGAAGTTGCAATTCTTTCTGAAAACACAGAGCAGAGATTAGAGTTCAGTTCAGGCATGTACCTGGTAACTTGTACAAATCCAAATTTGGGAGTGATTTGGATAGAGCTACTAATGAGCTCGTGATCCGTGTGCAACCTGGTGAAGCAATATATTTGAAGATAAATAATAAGATCCCAGGGCTCAGCATGAGATTAGACCGCAGCAATCTGAATCTCCTTTATTCATCAAAGTAAGAGGCTACTGTGAAATTTTATATCAGCTTATGGCTATATCCACATGGTTTCATTTTTTTGTTGATTCAAATATAGCTAACAAGTGTAGTTAGCCTGAGGCCAAGAGGATGCTTTAATCTGGTAAATGCGCACAAAACAAAAACTAATGGGGCACAATTATTTAAATGCATGTACAGTTTAAATAACCATACATCCAATTATATGTTATCTTCTAAACAATTTAAATTTCCTAAGGGATTCAAATCATAGCTAGGCTAGTTACTTGGACATATATTGGTGTTTGATCTGGTATTAGTTTACAAGACGAAGCTGTCGAAACCATGCATATTTTAATCTAATAGAAGCTAAAACAAATCAAATGGATACAAAAGTTTGTAACAAGTCATAGAAAACTCAAGAAATATAGAGGTGAAAGTTCTACTCGTTACATGTCACTTTCAGATTGTAAGGCCACAGTTACTTGCCTAATTTACCAGTGTGCAAATGCAATTGTAAGCACAAAAGCAACATTGTGCATAGAAGAATTTTATGTAATTATACTCTATTCTCGAATATTGTAAGAAAATCTTTCATGCAAATATATTTCTCAAATACATACATGATAAGTTGATGTGCACGCTTAAAATCAACAAATAAATAAAAGGTTTACTCAATGTGTGTTCTTTGTAGATATCCAGCAGAGATACCAGATGCATATGAGAGGCTTCTCTTAGATGCAATTGAAGGAGAGCACCGACTTTTCATCAGAAGCGATGAGCTTGATGCAGCTTGGGCCCTCTTCACGCCGGTGCTAAAGGAACTGGAAGACAAAAAGATTGTGCCAGAGCTTTATCCATATGGAAGCACTGGACCGGTTGGAGAACACTATCTCGCTGCAAAATACAACGTTCGATGGGGAGATCTCAATGGTGAAGACTCATAGGCTACTTCATTTGTGATCTCCTTTATCCTTCAAATGTACACTAAATATATTTTTTGAAGTCTAAAAGTTACATAGTGTGTACATCTAATTAAAATGCGTTCAAAGATATATGATGTATTACTTTTCTTAATCTCCAATATCCTATCTACTTCTACCTGAACTCTGAGTAGTGGATAGTGCTGGCCTCTTTAATGCATAACTATTGTTCTAAGACTAACATAAATACAATAACGATTAGTTTTAGATTTTGAAAAATGAATATTCCTTAATTTTAGGTTTTATTCAATGACACTTTAATATTTTTTTTCTTAAAAAGAGAAACAACTAAGAAGCTACTAATATATAATTGAATTTACTGTAGATGGGAAACATCAATACTGGATATTCACACTTCCTAAATACACCAGATTGAATTCAGTTGCTTTTGGAAGGAGGTGCTATGATGGGTACAAGCAAAGAAACTTACTAAACACTAATATATAGGAGGGGAGTCATTAATACAAATGTTTGCAGTTTATGTGCTGGTGGAGGTTTGGAAAGTCAAAACTATCTGTTTTTTGAATGCAAGTTTTCAAATGAGGTGTGGAATTGCATTATGAATTGGCTTCAATTCACTTGGAAGTCATGTGAGTGGGGACTTCTATTGGATTGGTTTTGTACAAAGCTGAGGGGCAGAGGATTTAAGCAAGCGCATGGCTTTAGCTGCTACAATTTACAGGATATAGAGTGAAAGGAACGCCAGGATTTTTCAAAACAAATATAGAAGCATGGAGTGTTTGGTTAAAGATATAAAGATGGATATTTTGATTACAAATTTAAACACTCAAATTCCAGTTGAGAAGAGAGATTGGTTACTCTCCTTGTAAAGCTCTGTGTATATGAGTTTTTTCTTTTTGAGCTTTAGTTTCAGGTTTTGGATATCTCAAAATGTGATGAGATTCTTGATGTACATACAAAATTTTCATATTGGTGGATGAATAATTTTTTTTTCATTTACCAAAAAAACACTAATATATAGGATGATGTGCACAACATAATTTTGGATCCAGCTAGTGACATATCCACAAGGACCTCATATATAGCTAAACAATGCCACATACACATTGACCAGATTCAACGTATTAAGTTGCAGATACATAGAGGGGTATGCTACAAAAATTGCAAATTTTCAGAAAGTTTTGAGACAAGCTCCAAAGGTTAGTGGTCAAATGATATTTATAAAGCTTGGGGGTGGGCGGTGTGTTGCAAAGAGAGAACAACCATTCATTGATATGACTGGGAATTTTTTTAAATAATGTCTCATATCAAGCACTTATGCATGTGGTCTCCCATTTTTTTTCTCCTTTTGATGGTTAATGGACCACATTTCCCTCTGTAGAGCACCATGTTAGTTCAGCTCACATAAAAATTTACTTTCTTGTCTGCTCTCATCTTTTATTTGAAAATAAGAAATCATATCAAGATTAGTTAAGAAGTGTCCAAATCCATGTGTCGTATGTACGTATGATGAAATTAAGACAACGCTAACATTCAAAATACTATTAGAGCTGTGTATCAAACATGTACTTCATTGATGCTTTTGTTACTTGTGGTTTATGTTTTTACTTTTTATTTTGAATAATTTATAACCGTATAAATGAACTCAAAAGTCCAGACTATTCTCCAATTGGTGCTATCACATGCTACTATATCGTGATGGTGTAATGCCACGATAATAATCAAAAGCTTTTGCACGTTGTAGTGCTGTGCATTTTCTACGGTTGCTTAAACTATTTGAAAATGATTTAGATACTATACATTTAGCAATGTAGAAGTTTGAATGCTAGCTTGTTGACAAGGTGGGAAATCTCCATGAGTTAAGGTCAAATTGGGCGGTGCACATGACAGCTGTCGTGTGATTGTAAAGAATATGCAAAGATGCGTTCATGTCATACCAGACAGTTCAATCTTTCCAAGCAACAGATTAGTGGAGGTGGAGATGAAAAGTCACAGAATCTCAGGATCCTGCAACTGCTTCCCGGGCAACTCCGCAAGCAAATTTGATTGAATTCTGCTAGTGACAATCACATAAAATACGTTAACACTGACTTGTCTTTCTAACTTGCAATTGTAAAAGGTACACGTTGCAGTTTATATAGCTACATCTCTTCTGTAGGAGATGGCTTTAGGACTAAAGGACAAATTTGAAAGATTGTTGAAGCTCATTTCAGCTTTTGCAATGATGCCTGTAAAGGTCTATAACTTAGTTTAACTTAGTTACTCCTAGTAGATTTAAGTGGTCATTCATTTGTCTTTTTTCCCCCCTCTATATGCTAGTGTACTGATCTTCATTACACGTTTCTTGTTTTACTTGGATAAACTACAGCGGAGTTATGTATTTAAGCGAACTGATATTCCTATAGGGGAGAACTATGTCCTTGACATCAACTACCCATTTAAGGTAGCCCCACATCCGTTCAAGTACTTTTCTTGTATAATGCCGCTGGATCTTTTGTTCTTTGTTGTTTTGTAACAGTTTCTAATTGACATAGAGACATATAAGGACACTTCTCATGGATTTCAGGATTTCAGATGGTCCAAATATCAGGCTTCCAACTTGTCATAGCTATTATGCCAGAAGCTATGTTGCATGACCTATTCAATAATTACTTAGGTACTTAATGTATAATAGGCATATACAGGACAAGTAAGAGATATACTCGAGACTAAGAAGTTAAATGATAATGTAAAAAATGACATGTTCTCAAATCTATTTGGCTTGTGGATGTATTTATATAATTTCTTTAGTTTCTTAGCGAAGAATTATGATTACTCTGCTAACTCTTTATCTATGTGACTGGGAGATCTTCTATATAACATTCTTAGCTTTGTTTTTAAACTGTTTGTTTTACAAATCTACGCTATACATATATGGACAACTTTATCATTATGGAATCCAGAACATCTACGGATCCTGAAATTTGAGCATTCTCCTTACTGACAATACCTGTACTATATTGTATATGTGTCTCATATTTATAGCGGTGCAACCTAGGAAAGATATTATCGTTTAGAATTACTTTCTTGTCTGATCTCCATGCATGGTATGTACGTATGATGAAATTAAGATGAAGCAAAACAGCCATTCATTGATACTAGAGATGTAGAATTTACCTAGTCAAGTAAAGATGTAGAATTTGCAACCCCTATCAAAGATCAATTGAAACAACAAATCCCTAATCCATAAAGTTTAATAAAAAAATTTGTTAAATAGCAAAAAAAACCCTAATTCATAAAATTCAATAAAGAAATTTGTTGAATAGTGAAAAAAAGAAAAATAGAACTGAGAGAGAATTGCAGAGAGATGGTCGAGGATTTGCCGAGATGATAGACTACTAAATCGTATGGTTCCCCTTTAACTACAATTAATGAACAAAATTGTCATAACATTGTAATTAACTCCAATAAGACAACAAATTGCAGGAGGGTAAAAATTGTCAGAACATTATAATTAAATCCAACAAGACGTAATTTACATGCGCAATATAACAATTTATCAAAAAATTCTAAACTCTATAGACAAGCTAAGTTGAGAAACAAGATTAGCATGTAAATTTGTGCAGGTTTTCTTTCCCAAATTTCTACAGGGAAAAAAAAACATGCTTTTAAAAATCAAGTGGTGAGAGGGAACTGATCAATGGCAATAAGAATAAAGAAATTGGTACTGGTGGAACAAACAAGAAATTAATCATGCCGTAAATCTAGCTAAATCAAGCACAGAAGTACAAAGCAATTGACATATAATAAACTTCAAAACCCTAACCTGCTCTAAACTCTATTCATGATCCGAGTTTAGAAACAAACTTATCAAGTAAAATATTGCAAGACTCTAAAAAATTCGTTAGAAAATTTCTGCTTTAAAGATCAAATGCGTCCAAATTTAAGGAAACTAACATATAGGGAACCAACCAGAAGAATGAAGAAATCAATCATGTAGTGAATCTAGGTAATAATCAATCACAGAAATCACAAGCAATTGAAAGATAGTAAATTTCAAAACCCTAACCTGGTTGAAGAGAGCAAGAGCCGAAGATTTGGGTGGAGAAGATGAAAGTGGAGTCAAAGATTAGGATGGGGACAGTGGAGATGGTTAGCGACGTCCATGAGGTCGGAACTGCTGAGGGGAGGAGTCGGAGGATGCTGGAGATGGTGGGAGATGTCCACGAGATCAGAGCATCGAAATGGCTGAGCGGAGGATTCAGTGGACGCCGGAGAAAGTCGGCGACATCCACAAGAGCAGAGATGGTCGGCGACGTCCATGAGATCAGAGTGAACGAGTTAATGGACCCTAGGTTTTTTGACC